TCATTTATAAATGTTGAGGTTTCATAAAAACCATCAGCATCACCATTAGTTTGAGCACAGAGCTGCTATTAAAGAGGAATCACATATCAAAGAGCCAATACCACTACCCTGAGTCCATGGAAACTCAGTCTTGTGGACAGAGCCACTATTCTTCCTTCAACTCTGCTGGACGAATACAGGTCAATTCACATCTGTCTATCACTGGCTTCCTTCCAATCCATAATATTGGCTCTTAACGGCTATAGAAGTAACATCAAGCACTTCTTAAAATATTCCATAGGCGTTGATTGCTTTAGATACCAGTATCGTTAACTACTTTGAGAAACAGGAACCCACGTCAGGATTGGCATATATCAAGTAGGGAGAACATTCTTGTCTGGCTGAATCTTCTTTGGTATCTTCCTTGGCAGATTTTCTGTAACATTAGGATTCATCAATGCCAGTACTGGATTAGATGTAATCCTAGAGATGTTCCAAAGGGCTAAATCATCCCAGATTCTTAGGACACAAGCTATGGTCTCTTTGTTATTACCTCTACCAATTTTAAGGCCTTGAGGAAAAGCATGGATGGGGGTCTCATTAAAATATGTCCTGTAACATTAAGGAATTGACAACATTCTAGAGGTAAGGCAACCAGGACTGTCACAAAAGATACATATTTTTAAGACTCTTCATTTTGGGACCATAATTTCCACCAGATATTAGTACTGGGTATCATTGCATGATTTAGTTGGAATCTATGCATTTATGAATCTCCCCAACTCCTGCTATTACAACGAAAAATGGTTCCTTGTATGGCCTGTCCTTATATTTTCCAAAGAAGGTGAAAATGCGGCTCACAATACTTTTTAAATACAGACACAGTATTTAAAAATACTGTGAGCTTATGAATGTCAATGGAATTGATCACCAGAATACTGGGGATAGGTTCTTATACGATACAATAGGATCGTTATTCTTGCAGTTTCTTTTCTTTTTGCTCATTGAAATAGATCCCGGGAGCACTAAAGATATCAATTCTGAGGCTTTGGCATCCCAATTCCTTAGTTGAACCGAGAGCTAAGCGTTTTAGAAGGATGGCTTGTGCACCTGCTTCCCGGTTCCCTTCTTTTCTATCTGGAAGTGCTCTGCGTTTTTCAGAGGTTTTTCTATTAGTGAATGTGCTCAGTGAAAGCTCATGCATACTTCACGTAATAGGATTAATTATCAGCCTTCCACTAATTATAATTAAAGCCTCCTCAGGTAATTGTGTAAGTTAACTTTCGCAATTTACACACACAGAAAGTATTTTGTGGAATAATATGCCATTGTGCTGCAAATACAGTAAAGGCACAAAAGGTATGAAAGCAGAATGCAAGAATTCCGAGTTCTAATACATTGAGCTTTTCTTAGGGTGTTGCCACTAGATATCTAATGGAAGATTTTGCTACTAAATATATTACATCTTCTGTATCTATTAATGATCCCTAATGCAAGTCTTTTGACAGGAAACATTTCTACCAAAAATTACTTCTAAAATGTGTAACTGTTTCTCATTTTTCTTAATAGATATTAGTATTCTCAGGTCTTGTTAAATAGCTTATGCTTTAGAAGATAAATGTCCTTAAAATCAGTAATTTATATGCAAAATGCATATTAAAAAACTCTTTCCTCAAAGCATCCATCCCTGAATGCACAAATTAAGGCTTTGTTCATTTATGAAGCTTATTTTAACTGTTACTTATACCGAATGGTTAGTCTATACGTCCCTACATTAAGAAGCTGCGTCTTGAAGATGCCAAATGACAGCACATGGCCTTCGATTGAGATTATGGGATGCTGCCTTGCGGAGTCAGGCTCTAATCTGCAACCAATTTATGTCAGCTCTCTGCACAGAAAAGGCCTCCGGTCCTCTCAGAAACCAGGAATCAGCTGAAGGTTTGTCTTGGTTTCATGAGCCCAGCACAATTAGGCAGCACGTGAATGTGGGCCACATGCGCTCATTGCTCTTCCTAGCATGTGTTACTTTGATGTGTTAGGTCGGAAAGCTCACTCCTTTCTGGGCAGCCTTCCTCCTGGGTCTTTATACTGCTTAGCAGTTGAGTTCAGACTTTGAAACACAGCCTAATTTAGAGGCGGATGCTGCAGCTGCTGCTGTCATTTCAGATGAATTTTGGGGGGCTTTGATGTCAGCTTAGAATATTGGGTGTTGTATCAGGAAAGCAGCGTCTGCGATTCACAGAGTAGAAACTGCATCGTTTAAGCTTTGTCTCAGCTTCACATTGAACTTCAACACCTGCCATTCTGCCAACAAGTAGTATGTGAACAACAACCTGTAGAACTTTATATATGCTTATTTGGAAGAAAGGTGTGAATAAAAATATGAGCCTCCACTGGTAGTCATCGAATATTGACTTAAGTAGCTCATGAGCATTGATGATAGAATATGGGGACTGTTCATAGAGTGCCCTGTTGCTTCAGCATCTTGTAGCTTTTCTGTGTGATCGACGTGGAACTTTTAAATGTGGGTCTGACTCATCTTTAAAGATTTTTGTTGTAATTATTTCTATTTTGTTGTTGAACACCATGCACACAGCATACAGATTATTAAATCCTTTGGGGACAAAGCCATTAATAGACTGCTTAGTCCTTATCTTCACTAATTATAATCCTTACATTTGAGAAATTGTAAATCGATTATTTTTCTAAATTGGGAATTTCTCGAACATCTGCCAACCCTCTCTGACTTTATCTGAAGTTGAAAGTGTAAAAAGGGTGGGCATTTGAAAGTTCATGCTAGTGAAAGTGTAGAATCATACAACCCATTTGTCCTTCGTCAGCTGAGGTAAGCCTGACAAAGGAAGAGGCTTCCTTTCTTCACTGTCCTTGGTGACAAGAAACATCTATCATTACTGGGCTTCAGAATCACACCTGACGACATGGGGGAAGTGTGATGCTTAAGAGAAAAAAAAAAGATGTAAACTGATACTTTATCTGATTTAAAAAGGAAAATGCTTGTGCCTCTCTGAATGATGTGATTTTACTTAAAATTAGAGTGAAAAACTAAATAGCAGTTTTGCTTTTGTACGTTGACAGCAGTGTATGTCTAAATCCCAGTTACCCACATTTTTGAGAAGACTCTTATTTTTTCCTCTTGTGTAAAAATGTTCAATATAATACTATTCAGAGGGAGAGAGAGCATTCTTTCAGGATATGTCCGCGATACGTTTTCTCTCTTGGATAGGACCATATTTATTGTTAATGTCACCAACCAGATTGCAAACAAAATCCACAAAAAAACAAACCCCAAACCAAAAAACTCAGAGAATATTTATTCTGACATCATAGCATACAACATTGGAAATTACCTATGTTCCAAACATGAGGATTGGTCAAATAAAAAAAAAACCAACAGCTGCTGCCTAGCCAGTTAATGGAATACTATGTAGTCATTCAAAATGAGTATGAAGATTTTAAAATAATATTACATAAATCCCTAAGGAAATTTTCACAACAAAAAGATGAAAATACAAAGGTGACTTATTTTTTGATAATAGTTGTTTCTTTACTTAATTGGAATATAGAGATTTCCCCCCTTATTTTTACTTTTATGTATATTAAAACAATATAAAGAAAACACAAATCCTCAAAACTGAACTGATAGATCATGTCATGATAAAGGGATCAAAGATTGAAGGTATCAAGGATTTTATCTTGCTTGGATCCACTATCAATGCCCATGGCAGTGTGAATCCAGAAATCAAACAGTGTATTACTTTGGGCAAATCAGCTGCACAGCTGTCTTTAAAGTGTTGGAAACTAGGCTGTCACATGCAGGACTAATGTGCACCGGATACAGGCACCGCGTGCGTGTGGAAGTTGGATATTGCATGTGGAAGGCCAAGGGATCACTGCATCTGAATCATGACACTGGGGACGCCGATGGAAAGGACCTCAGTTTGCCAGAGGAAACTGTCTCAGGAGGAGTGCGGCTCGGGAGCTTCTTGAAGAGAGGAGAGTGAACGTTGTCTAATGATCTTTGGAGATGGTATCAGAAGAGACTAGTGTCTCCACAGGGACACAGCCTGGTGAAATTGAGGGGCAGCGAAAACAAGGAAGACCCTCAGCTCGATGCATTGACAGGTGGCTGCAGCTGTGGGCCCACACTTAACACCAGTTGTGAGGATGGCGCGGGATGCATTACGCCTCCTTCTCTCGGGCCCAGGGTGACTACTAACGAACTCTACGACATCGAACAGCAGCAGCGCATAAAAAAATTAATTGAATAATGATTTAGAATGTTTTTAACATAGTAATGTGAACTTTATTTAAGAATTTCTAACAAGATGCCGTTATATCCAATGCACTACACTTAAACAAAGGGAACATGTTTATGAGCTGTGTCTCGTAATTAAAAAAAAATCCAATTAAATTTCATTTAATTCCTTAGGTATATTATAGCTTTTTCTTTCATTGTTTTTTGGCATTTTTTCAAAGGAAGGATTGGATTCTGTCACTTTAACTTTTATTATGCAAAACATGTTGGCACTATAGGGAAATATTTTAATATGACTATGCTTTTAATCTTTATATTTTAAAAATCAGTTGTCAAAATTTCTAAGTGTGACTGAATTTAGAAATGATAATATAATGAGTAAATCATGCCAAATGTTTGATCCTTGGCTTTTATAAACCTGCAGAACTTTAAAAAGTAGTAAATAAAAAGTATCTCAGTAGTAATTCTCAATATATTTATCCAGAATTTGTGCAGTGTAAGTAGACTCACACCGTTCAATATAGAAGCATATAGGCATGTGTGGCTATTTAACATGCACTGAATTAAAATTAAGTAAAATTAAAATTTCTGTTCTGCTATCAGAGTTATAAATCTGTTACAAATCTGCTATTTGGAGTTCATCTGTAACTCTATTCCAAGTCCTAAATAGCCACATGTGACTGGTGGCTATGGTATTCACAATAGGAATTCCAAATATTTCCATCAGTAAAGTAAAGCCTGCTGGGTAACTCTCACATAGACAGTCATCGCTGCTCTGCTTATAATCTGGTCCCTGGTAGGATTTTTTGAGAAGCGGATTTCCAGGTGACAATCTCCACTTTCTTTTTAACTTTGCTATGACATGAAAAGACCTTCTCATGAGACACAGAATGACCCTTTCACTGAAGGGTCAAAAAAACTTTTATTTAATGCTTAAAACAGCTTTCTACCTGGGGCGTGCTAAGTGGGAGGAGTACGGCTTCTGAAGCAAGGAGTGCTCATTTAGAGTTTGCGTGCTGGCTTGGAAATTGTGGGGTTTGGAGGGGTTAGGGTTTCAGGCTTGAAGTGCATGCTGTCTTCAAGGTCATCTTCTTCCTTCGTGAGAAGGTTCTCGATGATGTTGAACGCAGTCTGCCCAATCTGATGGTTCTCATGAAGTTGTAACGCCTCGATTTTCTCAATGGTACCCAGTTGTTCTAGCGTGAGACGGAGCTTCTCCATATCGTGAGAATTCACTGCAGACTGGAGAATATAGAAGGTGGTCTGAAGGACGATGATAACGGTCTTGTGGTCATGGCAAATGAGCAGACTCGTCAGGGGCTTCAGGACTCCCGATTGGATGAGCATGGCCAACTGACCTGTGGTGCTCCCCATCGTGAAGTTAGCCACCACCCACACAGCCTCTTTTTGGACTTTAAACTCTCCATTTCTCAACAACGACACCAAGATGGGCAGCATGCCATGATTGATCAACTGCTCGATGGGCTGGCAGTTCCCTGCAGCCACTTTGCTCAGCGTCCAGGCTGCCTCCTTCTGGATGGAGGACTTGGGGTGCCTCAGGAGCTGAACTAGCACATCCAGCATGCCCGCGTCGATGGCCTTCTGGGTCTGCTGATCTGTTCCCGTGACGATGTTTCCCACCGTGCGGAGAGAGGGGGTCATGATACGGAGTTTTGAGCTTTTCATGAGCTCCACCATCCTGGGTAGAACTCCCGTGGCAACCACTTCGTCAATGCGCTCCTGGCAGCCATCAGGGAGGTAGGACAGGGCCCAGCAGGCATCCGAGAGAACCTCGATGTCATCGTGTTGCAGGAGGTTTAAGAGGGCAGGCAGCATTTCCTTCACTGCCTCTTCACAAGGGTCCTTGTTCCGGCACAGGTTGGAAAGGGTCCACGCAATGTTCCGCAGAAATGTGATTGGTATGGTTGTTGAAGCCAGGGCTAGTAGATGTGGGATAATGTTGCTTGAGATAACGATGTCTCTGAACTCTGTGTTGTCACCTGCTATATTACCCAGGGCCCACACTGCCTGTTCGCGCACACACACACATTGGGGGAAGACAGGAGCTCTATCAGGGCCTGGATGGCACCCGCGTCCACGACAGCCTGGGTTAGGTCCGAGGGCCCTGAGGCGATGTTGGTCAGCGCCCAGGCTGCTTCGAACTGTAGGTGAGGGTAAATGAAACACTTGAAAAAGTCCACCAGCCTGGGGACCAGTCTCGCTTCCACGATCACCTTCAGGGGTGGGTTTCTCTCCTGGGACAGCAGTTTCCTGGCCGTCTGGGTGGCCCAGAAACATAGGACTGGGTCTGGGCTATTCATCCCATGGACTATTTCATCCAGGTTGGGCCTGGTCCCTTCTACCACGTCCTTAGAAGACGGCTTGGAGAAGGCATCTGTGATGTTCCTTCTCTTTAAGGTATGTTCGTCCTTCTTGGCCTTCCGGAGCTCTATGCTCCGTTCTACTTGTACGTGAGCAATAAGGCATGGAGTACTGCACAAACAGGAAGTTTGGGCAAACCCAGAGGCTACCAGCCACAGCAAGTGAAAGGTGGAAAGAATGAGTTTCTTAATCGGAAGAACATTCGAGAGAAGAGAAATACAACTCAGAAAATACTGCTTTCAATGGAGGAAAACAACCACAACGACAACAACAGAAAAAAGCACAAATATGGAAACCAAACGTTAGAGTATTGTGTATAAATTTTTGTATCACATTAGAAATATTTTCCTAAAGTATATACACAGAGTTTTGGTAGATAGTAAATTAAACATCAAAGTAGTGAAAACTCATGTTTTTTAAAAAAGAATTTCTAAAAAAAAAAATCACAAATAAAATAACTGATTACAAAACTTAAAGGCAACGCAGGAAAACATGAAAAATATTATTTATTTTCACTTAGTTATTTTATATATCTATCTCTATACAAATATTTTATTATAAAAATACATTATTTCAGGTTATATTATAATTACTTAATAGGATGATTAAATTTCATAAATGAAATATAATTTTCAATGTTCTGTTTGTATGTGAAATTTATTTAACTGGATTCTCATATTAGGATATTATGATTATTTAGATTTGTCATCTAAATAAGGTGATATAAACTTTTTTTCCTATAAATCTTTGTCACATAGGTCACAATTTCCTTCAGAGAATTCTGAGTGGAATTACTAGATCATACAATTGAAGTTTTAGTGTTCTTGCTTCATATTACACAAATATGGTAATGGTGTACATACTATATTACAAAAAATATGGTAATGAGGTACATACTCACTGGCAGTGAATAGTAACACATGTTTTTCTGAATACAACCTCCTCAGGGTGGCCAGTGCAAATACAGGATTAGTATTACTAAGGCTGGATCTTATTCTGGGTTTGTATTTATTCATTCTTGATTAGTAATAGCTTCTAAAAGTAGTGCTATCAAAATGTATCCCGAAAAATAACAAAATTAAATATATTAAATTGTATTTGTTAATGTATAAAATATTAAATAATAGGAAAACAAGTCTTTCTCATATACCAAGACAAGTCTCTTGGATAATGTATTCCAACTATGAAACACAAAAACACAAAACAAATGAGCAAAATACCCAAACAAAACAATCAACCCCACTGTCCTTGATTTGATTTCAGCCCACAGTGGTTCTATGCGCGGTGTCTGCGGCTCTTTAAGGAC